GCTGTACTATTACAAAGAATGTTGCTAATCATTGTGATAATTGCGGCAATGTTTTAATAGTTTAGAAGAGCAATGCTTATTACCAGAGGATTCAAATTTTAATGACAACACTGGTTTAATTAAAAATGCAGTCTCATCTGAATAATAATCAGATAATCTCAAAGTGCTTTGTGATAATACATAGTGCATATTACTTGTTACCAGGAAGATCTTTATTTCTGGTTTGTTTAAATATAAAGGTTAAGTGAAGGGCATATACCCTAAAGAGGTTCTGTTTCAAATTATGCTATTAAGCCCAGCTGTGCAGGTCATTTTGTTACACCTGAATGGCAAAAGGATGAAAGATTTACAAAAACTGTAATCCACCATAAGGGATTATGAAATCTCTCTCCCTCAATAGCTGAAACTGGCAGGTTCTTGTCCTTGGAGGTAATGGTAGCTACAGACACAAATAAACTCTGCATTGAACAATTCAGCAAGCGGTTCTTGGTTCATATGAAGCAAAAAAGGGCTTTGTACTAAGACCAAAATATCCTTTGAGTCACAGGCCAAAATGCTCCAGTCATTGGTAAAATAGGTTTTATTGCAAACTCATTGCATATATGAAGGTGACAGCTGACTAACCAATTCACATCAGCATTAAGCTGCATCTATAGAGGTATACAGTACATGGTAAGAAATCATTCTATATATTGACTCAGAACATGCTCACTGTGATTCTAAGAATATGGCAATGGCACTGCAAAATGGCCAATCCAGTCTTTGAGATGTGACATACTTCTGGGTACAGGGGAGCATGTGAATTCCCTTCCCTTCTCATGTGACACTGCTGATGGGCAATTGGCCACTCAGTAATTTAGAACTGTTACATGTGGGTGAAGAAAGAGCCTTCAACCATGTGTAAGCTCCAAGTCTCAACTAGAAGATTAAACACAACTTCTCCTCCTTGTTTCTGCAGCTGAAGGGTCACTGGCAAGTATAAATGTTGTTGGCCAGCCAGGTATAACCACTCCCAGCATGATTCAGTTTTTTGCTAGTGTCCTAGGAGGATAAACATATTTTCATTACTGAGCAAAGTGTAGTCATTATTTTTTGCTTCAGTCAAGATTTAAACTACATGCTGTTCAGCTGCAGCTACAGTATTTGGATCAGCTTTTCCTCAGCAATCCCTTGGAGGCAATACCCATATCCTGCTCAACCAAAGATTGCAGGCGTGCCTGGAATGTGACCTTGGCACACATATCCTGATATGTGACCTTTGGGCAATGGACTCTGCTTTACGGCAGAGCACTTTCCAGGTTATAAAGCAGTGGCAAAACTTTTTGGCATGACCCAGTCTCTCACAATTCACTTAATAAGTATGTCCAGTCAGTCAGTAATGGCAGTTATCTCACAGTTTTGACTGTTGGGCGCCATTTTAAATTTCTGCCCTTTACTGCTCCGTCATACCTGAGGAACTCAGCGCAAATGTTATCCACTAGGTGGAGTATTAAACGTGCATGCTCCTGTCCTGCCTTTCAGGCTTAAAGATTAAGCACCTTGCCACTACAACTTCTGTTGCTTTAAAGTGTATCGTGGATCTTCTGGTTTCTGGTATTCTTCCACTGCCCGCCCACAGTGACTTGAACAACTAACTGTGGCCATCTATTATCCTCATAAGTACCAACTGCTTGGGTTTGTGAGTATGCGAGGCCTGGTTGCTTACCAATAAATGGTGCAACATGTCTTTTAAAATATGGTGAGAGGATAGTCCTGTTGCAACAGATTATCTTGTACCTTATTCTCATACTTTTTCTGGAGATGATTCATCAATTTTCCCAGAAGAAACCAATACCTGTAACCAGGATCTAGGGTCCCCTATTTGTATATAGTCTTCCCTTTCAGCAGCTTCCAGAACTCCCCTTCCTGAGCCTAAGATCTGTACTGTGTCTTGCAAGCCTTCAGGTTGTGCACAATCAATGGAGCAGAAGTGCCAATGCTTGCAGAAGTTCTAGTGCTCCGGCACACTTCATGGCAAAGTCCACCTCTGACCTTACAGGGTCTTTATCACACAGAGTCACTGGGGCCCCTATCACCATCTCCAATTCAGATTCAGAGCCTTTGTAACCGACCTCTAATGAGACTGTATTTGAGTAGAGTCCATATACCTCAGATATACAGTCTCTTGTTTCTAATGTAAGTGATGCAATGCACTCTGCTATACATCCAGGGGATCAGCTTGCTGTACCTGGTATGGGATCTTTTACAGCTCATGTTGCTGCAAAGATCTTCCCCATATACTCATGAATTAAAACATTTATCTATGAGGACGGGAAACATCCTGTGCAACCATGGCTTCCTCCTGAGAGTGTGAGGAAGCTTTTTTACATTTGATAGAGAATGTTTTGATAAATAATCCCTACTGTAGACCTTTCAGTTCCATACCTTAACAGACATATGACCACACAGAGTGATGGTGTCTCTACATTTAGGGTTTTAACTCAAATGGAACAACTCTCCATCCTCAGTTGGCGGTGACTTTGATTTGTGAGATTATGTGCCAGTGGGCCATATGCCTTAAATGGACCTATCTAGCACAAGACAAAACCCTTAAGTTCTGATACAGGTAAATCAAATGTCTGAGGCACTAAGTTTCAGCTGTAATGGATTCTTAGACGCATCTACGTTTTTTCTCTAGCATAGCAGAGATGTCTGTCCATATGCACAGAGCTCTTTGGCTTCATGCCTGAGATGTAGAGGAAACATTTGAATATTGCAATATTTACTTACCCTTTAAAGGAAGGAATCCCTCTGGTCACACACTGGACATAGGCATTCCTGATCCTGCTGGTCCTTGCACCATGCAACTACTTTCATGTAGATGATCAGTAGATGGGGTAGAAGAACCCAAATCTTCATTCACTACAGATGTAATACTTATTAGGCAATCAGTATCTGCCTCCCATTCAAACCACAGATTTCAAAGCCAGAAGCCTACTGTTTAAAGGTATACCCCCTCTTTTTTCAGTGGCTTAATGTTTGCTTATCTTATTAAGTCTCATGGGTATTTTTTCCTCTAATTTGGATGTTCAGGTCTTAAACTGCAGGTTCTACTCTATACCCTAAAACCAGGCATCTGGTTCAGTCACTTTTTCCTGGATTTTCTATACCCCAGTGAATATAACACCATATTATTTAGGCTCCCCATATTCTAAAAACTTGGTTTTCCTTTGTTATGTTGCCTGGAGCCTAATTCAGAGTCTATAACATATAGGATAATTGCACTCTTCGTGGTATTTATTTCTCCATAAACGTGTCCCTCTCTTGAGGGACTTTTTGACCTACAATTTTGACAAAAATTGGTTCTTTTTGTTTCCTCTGAATATGGAACTGCTTACCTTGAGCTTCCAAGAGATTTCAGGACTGTGCTTACAGCACTGACTATTATGTCCACCATGGTGCTCCTTTTCATCCCAGCGTTTCTATCGTGAAATGCCTAATAGATCCTAACTGAGAAAGTTCAGTATTTTAGATTCTGGCAATTCCTGTTTGTCCTATTTACCCCCTTTGGGATTTGAGGGATTGATTGGGAACTCCATTCACATACTCCATTTTTTGTGCTGACTCGTTTTTTTCTTGAGTTACAGAATCTGAAATCTGAACAATGCACAAAAATGGTCCTTGGACTTACAAGTCTCATTTACTATTTGCTGGTTTCTGGATAGGGTGGGAATTATTATTTTTAATCTCTTTCCTTCATTATTGAAATATTTTTCTAACTGGCTAAATCAGTTTTTCTACTTTTGAGTATAGCAGTAACACGCTATATGCGGACATTGGGTCACAGGAGTACATTAGTTAATGTACTCCTGTGACCCAAAAGAGAAGTAAAGCCAAAAAAGGTTTGCCTTTACTTCTCTTTTAAGGAAGAATTCAATCAATGATTTAAAATAATATGACCATAAGATAGCAGTTTAAGCAGTTAATTGCAAGACTAGAGGCATAATAAAGGAATACTATAAACTTGCAGAGCTTAAGTATTTCTCCATACATTAAATTACAATTGTGTTGTTTTTAAATTGTGATTTTTTTTTGTAATCTAGTAACATTCAACATATACCAGCTGTTCATGTATTTTTTAAAAAAATGCAATATACATACTTGTATATAATTTACCATATAACTTTTTTGTTTCATTGAGACTTTGCACTTTTAGGGTCATGCTCATATATGACTTCTCAGAAATATGAGCTTTAAAGCATTAATTTCATTTTTTTAGATTACCCCATTGGCTAAGAGGAAAACAATTTGCCATTGAATTTAGTAGTGGTCCTTAGGTCTTGGAAACACAATTTGTGGAATGTTACAAGAAATCCTGTCATCTTTAGATGGGATCATCTGATTGAAAGAGATGACATTGTTAAGTCACAAGGGCTGACTTTCAATAAAAGAAAAATAAGTATTTCATAACATGTCTTCAATTTGCTGGCTCTGTCCTTATATGTTGTATTCATGTGTAATCATGCTTTAATGCTCTCATTCCTGTGGTGTATGATTTGGAATACCCTGCACACTATCTTCATTGAATATTATCAACAAAGCATCTTCTATTTCATTTGGTGAGAATGGAAGCAGGGATCTGATCTTGTTGGTATTCTGCACTATGGTTCCAAGAGTTTCCAAGAATCATTTGATAGGTGTTGTGAAGGATATAGCTAGCATGCTGACATGGATTTATTTGTTGTTGCTGCAATATTTCCACATTCAATCCATACAAAAAAACTGCAAAACAGTTTAGAAATGAGCTCTAAAAACTGGTTTGAACACCACCTGAAGGTAATCCTCTTTAAATCTGTTTTTTTCTTATTTCCTGTGACATATTACACTGAATAGAAAGGGAAGGTGCATTTACATACATTGAGTGTGTACTTCTCCATTCAGAAGTATTTATACAGGTCATTAGATTACCTCTTGTTCTTGTCATGCTGCTTCATTGACTCTGTGATATTTTGTCCCAGCAGATTAAACAAGAAGAGAGCAGTCTGTTGCCAGGAGTCAGAGAAGTCCCCAAAATGAACGCCAACGATTCAAATGCACCAGAGGGGGGTCTTAATGTCACATTGACCATACGGTTATTAATGCATGGAAAGGTAATGTAACTTGGTATTTGGCATTCCAGTCAAACTCCATTTTCTTTGTATGTATGTGCTTAGCTTGCTTCATAGCAGATTATTAGTATATCAATAATGATTTTTGCATAACTTTACATTTACAGTATTCTTTACCTGCTAAAATGTGTGGATCATGCCCATTTGTAATGACCAACCTCCTTTTTATTGCTAATAGCAATATTTCTGTACTTTTAACTTTCAAAAGCCCTTCCATTTTGAATATCATTGACAGATCAAATCTTTATAGGTTTTCTCCCACTGAAACACTAGACTTCTATGGAGGCTCTGTCTCTGTACAAAAGTTAGGCTTGCCTTTGCATACTCAAACTTACTAAATGGCAGAGAACCAAAACCAAAAATTATCTGGTGATTTTACTGCTGCTACACCAAAGAAGGCAGCAGCATCATATGCAACAAGGAGAGACGTTAAGAAGAGATAAGTGAGAACCTCCATCTATATATCAGAAATCAAGTGTAACACTTGCAGTGTTTATGCTTTGATCTTCAGAGTCATTTTTGTATTTTCTGTAGTCCTTATACCCTTATCACTGTACAACAAGCAACAATACAACAAACTACAGCCCATACCCCACTCCAATTTGATGCACATTTACCAAGTGTTGGTGCCTTAAAGATGCATAAATAATGAAGATAAAAAGGAAGTCTTAATAATACTTGTAAATTATGCAAATCACACAACTTAGTTTCTCCGTAATATGATGTGCCTACATAGAATCTCAATCCCTATCACAACCATTACGCTCTATTATTTGAGTTTAACCTACTTATCTACAATATTAGGTGAGATTTTTTTGAATTATTGGTTTCTTTGACCATACAACTAAAGTTTAACTGTATGTCCATCATCAGTTGAAAAAAAAGTGCCCTATTATTCTGAGTTGTTGTCTTTTAAGATACTAACTGATCTGGAAAGCCTGCATCAATGAGGCCCCCTTCCTATAGAGCTTATTTCTGATCTAGCTATTATCAAGGTTCTGAGAGCATAGCTATCTCATTAATTCAGAAAACATTATAGTCTTTATTTATTGAACATTAGTCTTCTTTGTGGGATTATATGGGTAATACCTACCTGCGTCTCTAAACAAAACAGAAATTGTACAGAACAGTATGTATCAAAGTGGTTTTATAGCATCACCACAGTTCTCCATTTCCAGTGGGGATCATCACTGTGTCACTTTATATACATTTGCTTTATGAGTCACCTTTCCCTTTCTATCTCCTAGTTAAAATTCTAGCCAGACTATTCTGTATGCAAAATCATATACATCACGTGGCAAACCATGTTTTCACAAAAGTCTATTTTTAATATGTCTTTCCCACAATATAAAGAAAAAAAGTATGACAGGATATTTTTCAAGAAACAGTTGGAAATTAGAGTGCTGAGAGTAAATAATTATGGTGGAATATTTCATAACATATGAATTTCATGTAATAACCTTACTGAAATGTGTTTATATGTACTAGGGAAATATGATTATTTGTTTGAGCATTGAAATGACTGTAAATAGAATTTCTTCATCCATTTAGGGACACCAGAAGATGGTAATTCTTAGACATTCTGGTTATACTACCTCCTGTAAATATTAATCCAGTCCCTGTTTAACTTCGCCTCCAACAATCATGCACGTTTTTTGGTAGTATCTTAGGAGGTTGGACACTTTTTACTTAGCACTGCTAAAAAAAATCTAACTACAAATCTATTTATACTAGACTTTGTATCAGAATTTTTTGGTTTTTTCTTCAATCAAGATTGTCACCATGGATATTTGTTCTTCAGTGATTTCAATCAAAATTTTAGAAATGCTGCTTGAGCTAGTTTCTTCACAGCAGCTACCAGGGATGGTGCTTTGGAGGCCATATCCAGGCACTTTCCAGTTACGTCACCACTGGAGGCCAATATGTAGAAATAACTGTTAACGCTGAGGGAACTGTGCACTGACATCATCTGCTAGGCTGAGGGAACTTTGCACTGATACAGGTGAAACTCGAATAATTAGAATATCATGCAAAAGTAATTGCAGTAAGTGCTGCAAAAGGGGCCCAAACCAAGTACTGAGTACATATGCATGCTTGTACTTTTCAGAGGTCTGATATTGTTCTATGTACAATCCTTGTTTTATTGATTGCATGTAATAATCTACTTTTTTGAGGTTGTGGATTTGGGGTTCTTGGGGTTTTCATGAGCTGTAAGCCATAATCATCACAATTAAGACAAATCAAGGCTTGAATTATCTTGCTTTGCATGTAATGAGTCCATCTCATATATTAGTTTCACCTTTTAAGTTGCATTAGAGAAATAAATGAACTTTGCACGATATTCTAATTATTCGAGTTTCACCTGTATAATCTGCTGGGTTGAGTTTGTGCAGGAGTTTTCTATGCTCTTCCTCCTGCTTTATTCAGCCTATAGTATAAGACTTCACAGTGCTTCTCCTGCCTTTGGAGTGCTTTTCAGATTTACCATTTTCCTTTCTCACTCCAATGCCTTATGTGGGTTTGTAAGTAAGTGAGGCTTTGCCTCTACTTGGGCCTAGTTGTTGTCTACTGTGCAGTGGAACATGATGGTTAATAGACATACAGAGGACAGTCCCAATGCAATGGGTGACCTCAGCCCATACATTGTCATTGTAGATAGGGGCAACCCAGCTTCCTGGTTGGCTAGAATACAGGCTTCACACTGCCTACCGACACTGCGAAGCAGCCTGGCTTCCTGACCACTCATAAAGCTGGGCGCCAGGTCATGGCCCGCCTCACGGCTTCCTGACTGGCTAGGAAGCTGGCTTCACACTGCTTAGCGACACTGACAGTCTGGCTCTTTTGCTCTCAGGGGTGGATCTTTAGCGGGGTTGTCGGATGTAATCAGTAAATTGGGCTCTCACTTTAAGTGCTTTTCAGATGCTTTATTAAAGAATAGCCAAACTGGAAGAGAGGTTGGACTTGATGGACATGTGTCTTTATTCAACCTCAAATACTATGTAACTATATGTAAGTATAGGGCTACAGACATCCCTGGGCAAAAATAGACTCCAGACTCACCAATCCCTTCCAGCTTCCACAGTGCAGGAATACTTTAGCTGAGCAGAGGATGACACTGTGTAGTAAAGCAACAGCCGAATAGAGGGTATGCATGAGATCTTCTTTGGGAGAGACACCAGACTTGTTCCAAAGGTCCATGCCATCCTGGCCTCCTGGTTGAATGAAAAAAATAGAACAGTGTATTGCCAGTTTTATTTCTGATGCCTATAGTGCTGGGAATGTGTATCTGCTTGAACACAGAATATATTGGGATAGGGGATCCCCATTCTTCTTCTACTATTTATGTATAAACAATCAGAGTCTACCTCCAACACTAACCACAGACATCAAGGCTAAAAATATTCTTGTTAATCTGCTCAGTCCTTTTCATTTTAATTAGAAGTTATTTGTTTGTCCTGCTGGATCCCTTATGGGTTCATCTCCTAGCAGTTTAAAGTCTCAGATTTCCCCTTGCAGCTCCACTATTTAACTTTTCTTCATGCATCTTTACTATTTGGTTCTGGCAATACTGTACTCCAAGTGCTTTTTCCAGAATTTTTGAGTGGCCTGTTTCCTGGGATCTCTGATACCTACATTAGTAGAAATCTATCCTTGAGGGTGGTACTCATCAATTCCGCATTCCTAGTTGCAATGAAGACCTCCTTTGTCTCCATTATTCTAAGCTGTCCCCTTGACATGCTTTACTTTCCTCAGTCCTATCCCTTTCTGAGAGATTTTGTGACTTACTGGATTAACAGGAATCAGTTTCCACTACTCCCTTGTCCTGTGAGAGTCTGATTCAGAGTACTCCGGAGTACACTTGCACTCAATGGGGGTTATTCAGAAAAGAGTGAAGAGTTTGGAGAAGGCAGCAGAAGTGAAGAATCTAGGCCAAAACAGCCGATTTGGAAGAATTCTCCAATTCAACTCACTTTCCAGTTCAGCTATATTGCCTTGGTTGTTCACTTCTCCTGCTTCCTCCAAACTCTTCATCCTTCTGTGAATAACCCCCAGTGAGTCTGTGTCTTTTTTCTTAAAGTCCCTGCTCAGCCGAGGATCCTTTTAACTAACCTGGGTATAGCAGATCTGTTCCTCTTACCTGTTCATGTTAAATGTGTAATGGTCGGTTGCTTCTTCTTCCCATTTGTTCCACAGTGCTTTCCATTTTTCTTTCGTGTAAAACCATCTGGAGTTTTAGCTAGAATCGGATCAAGGTGGGTTTTATCCCTTGCTCTCTTCCTGGGGGGGATTCTTTTTATAGATGTGTTCATCTCCTATTCTTGGAGTCTAGTTCATTGTCACAGTAGATTTTTCCATGTTCAAGGATTCTCTCTGTCAGAAATGTTATCTTTCCTCCTTTTTTTCCTATTGTGAATGTTTGGTTGTGCTCCACATTGTCAGTTGAGGCCTTTTATTCCATCAGGTAGCAGTTCCCTGATTAGCTGTGCTGTTCTGAAACACTGGAATGATCCTCGGTGTCCTTTTGTTTGGTCTTAGCAATTTTCCTTCATTTTTTTTTAAAACTAGGCTTTATTAGAAGTTGATTCAGATCTCCAGGTGCTATGGTTCAACATCCTTTGTTAGCCACCCATCAGTTGGACTGCTTTTGGACTTTCCAAATGTATAATAATTATTATCTCTCTGTGTCCCTAAATGGATGGTAAAGAAAATACGATTTTGTTTACTTACGATAAAATCTTTTTTTTTAGGCCATTGAGGTACACAGGTCCTGCCCCTCTGTGTAATGGCCTTAAGTACTGCCTGGCATGATGGTTGAAAGGGGTTAGCTTTAAGTTTTTTGTTTGCTAGTCCAAACCCCATGAAGGTGTCAGTATAACACAAATGTCTAAGAAATACTATATTCCTGTTTTCCTCAATAGATTTTAAAGTAATTACAACATTTTTATTTTTCTAGCTTTAAAGCTACAAGACCACAATTTATT